TGAGACCTCCCCCTCAGTCAAAACTCTCTTAGACAAATTCACAACAGTCTGATAACCCCGACCTCTTGTGTCTCCCTCCGCCCGGCTGTCACCAACCCCCAGTGCTTCAATTCGCCTACTTTCAAAAGTCAAGCTCTCATCCCTCGATGTTTGAGCACATGAACGTGGTTCAATGAAACATTCCACCGAGCTATTGTCCTCACGACGCTGATCATATTCCCTTAAAACGGAATCAATATCCCTTGTGACACGTCCGGTGTCTACCAAAAGAAGAGGGCAACTAATCGGAAGTGGATTAACCCCTGCATTACTCTCTTCTGGCCCCAAATTCTCAACCTCAACCGACAACTGACTAAATCTGCTCAACGCATTGTCAACCGTCCGTCTTATATCTGAAACAAAATTATGAATCGTCAACTCTAACCCATTTTCCCCATCCCCTTCAAATTGCTCATCCTCAGTAACGGTCGTGTCGTCATTTACACCAGAAATGGCATCACGTTTCCTTGACCTTCGTTGCATTAAGTTCCCTTCGAAACGTCCACTCACCTCTTGCACTTTCTTTACAAGCCCCTGTGATCTCCACGGTCCGTACTCATGAGAAATGCTACTTTCCACCTTACGAATTTCCTTCGTAGTTATTTTAACAATCAACTCAGTCTCCCGCTCCAAAAGTCGCTATAGCCGGTGAGAGGCCTCCGCCAGAATATCCTGCCAATCTGTGACAACCTGTGCTCTCACACTGGCAATGTTTGCATTTTTCCTAAGCCGTAAGCCTGTTGTTATCAGTTGTTTCTCTTCACAAATTTGAAGAAAGCAGCGATGATATATATATACCAACTGGCAGTCAATTAATCAGATTGTCAGATTAATAATCAGATTAATAAAATCAGATTGTATTATCCCCTGGCGAATTGTCGTGTCCTGTTGATACATTCGATTCTTCTTCCCAAGATAACCTACAAAGCACACGCACAAGTGAAGTCCAGGTACAGCTAAACCACTATGCTAAAAATTAACTCACAAGGTTTCTGTGCTAATTAACCCCTGTAATCCCAATATCCCCACACTCATTCTCCAGACTGATCTCCATACATTTTCTTAAAGAATTAGTTGAGAGAATTTGTTTTAAGATCAGAGCAGTTTCTTTTAGGTGATCATTATAACCTTTACTTTTCGTTACGTATTGATATTATTGGAGAAAACTGACCTTGATCACTCTTGGGACTTAAATTAATAGTATTTAACTCTAGTTATTGACGTGATTGGTCAATTGATATGTGATGTCATGGACGTAAAGTTTAGCCGGGTCTTTATCAGATATAAAGACACTTATTAAACATTAATTTCTTTTGTTTTTTCTTTCTGAATTATTAATGAGTTTTTGAAGATACGTTAAAAGGGATAGGAGATAAAAATAGAGAAAATCTGTAACTAAACGGAAAGAGGAGAAAGACTAAGAGAAAGAAAGAAACGGAGAAAGAAAAGCAGAGAGCGAAACAGCAAGAAACTGAGGAAGAAAAGAGAGAAGGAACAGGATGAAAATGTAAGGTAGAAAACGTGTAAGAAACTCAGTTAAGGATTACAGTTCTAAGTGTTACTTTAAAAATAAATCGTTTTGTCCTTCTGAAATTCTCTCAACTACTTCACACCGTCGGAGCACGTTCCGCATTACTTATCACTGGTGCACAAGTCGCGGCTCCATACCGCTGGGTAAGCCGATCAGGCTCCTCGCAGAGCAGTTCTTGAACGATCCTCAAATTAGGCTTAATAATAAACCACTAATTAAGCAACACACAGGGTGCATTCATTTACAACATACGCCGCAATAGCCGTCACTTTTGCAGTTGTTTTTACGCCTTCAAAAAGTCTATGCTGCAAATAAGTGCACCTTATAGTGGTTTATAGAGTACTAAAGTGCGACGTCATAAAAATGAAATTTCTGAAATTATGGGATTTGTCAGGATATTCTGAAAGAACAATGTCCAAGAGGCATACTTGCCAAAAGTGAGCATTTGGGGGCAAATTGTCTCTGAGATCGTAGCCCAGATATGCTTACAAAACTCCATACAAACCCTCCTAAATTTTTTTTGGGTCGACCCAAAAAAAAATTAGAAGGGTTTGTATGGAGTTTTCTGAGTATAACTAGGCTACGATCTCAGAGACAATTGCCCCGAAATGCTCATTTTTGGCAAGTAGTTGATGATCAATTTGAATTTCGTCATTTCATTTTCCTGCCTAGGCTGCCTACTGCCTAGGCTGAAGAGAGATCTCTTACCGTAAATGATCTATTAAGCTTCCCGGAGGGCTTATTTGTTTTAAACACATTTGGGGGACGCTTTAAAATAGAGACGGGGGGACGGCTTATGAGAGAGGGGGTCGAAGCGGGGCTTATTTAATTTATCAAAGACGATGCTATCAGTTCTCCCGAAAGAATTGGAATACAAAGTGAACAGCTCACGATTAAGTACAAGAAGTTGGAGGTCACGCAGCTGATGATCAATAACAGTCCGAACTGTCAGTTGGTGAAAAAATCCTCCCGGATCAGCTCACATGAAGTTTTACAGTGAAGAGAAGAATAATAAGGGGAGAGGTAGAGGGCTTATTAACTTTCTTCCTCTAAATGGGGAGGGGGGGGGGGGAGCTGAATATGGGGAAGGGAGTTCCATAGTTTAGGTCCTAAATGGAGGATTGTGAACTGTTTAATGTTTGTTCTACAGAAATATGGTCGGTAGTTATTAGCATTTCGAGTATTATATGTGTGTACGTGGCGATTAGTAACGAAGGTGGTGGTAAACGTATGAGGAAGGAGGTTATTATGATATGAGTACATAAAACACGCAACAAAGAACGTAATAATGCTAAAACTGTCAAGGCAAGAGCCATAATATCCTTGACCAAGAGCCATAATAGGACCTATTATGGCTCTTTGTCAAGGATATTAAGAGTCCGAAAAAGAGGTGCAGTATGGGCAAGATATTCAGCGTCACAAACGATTCTGATGATGCGTTTCGGTAGGTAGAGAATCCTATTCAAATTGGATGGATACGTTGAGCACCTGATTCAATGTTACAGTAGTTAAGATACGGCGGGTAAATCAATGTGAAGTATGGGATAACAAGATTTGGAAGAAAGAAAGAAACGAGCTTTACTTATGATTTCTATAGTCTTTGATACTTTTTTAGCAACATGACTTATATGATGTTTTCAAGAAAGATGCTGATCTAATAAAACACCAAGAAACTTTGTCACTTTAACCTGTTGCACAACAATATTATCTAGCGTAATTGCATCACTAACAGTAATGGGTTTTTGCCTGGGTCGAAAAAGAATATAGTTTGTTTTGGTGACATTGAGTGATAATTTGTTTACTTTAAGCCATTCATTGCTTCTTAATAAAATACTTTATACAACTTTATTTTCAAAAACGAAAACACTTAATTTACAAAAAAAAAACTCTTACTTAGCATGCATGGGATCAAGATGTCTGTAGCACAAAGAATGGTTAGTAGTGTTTCAAACTAAGGGGTAAAGGGCACTGTTCATTCGTCAGAATTGACCGGCAGCCAGACCGTTCCCATGGTAATGAGAAAAAGGTAAGGTAAAGGCGCACACGAGCCCAAGGCCCACACGGCCGGAGCTTATACCAGTTTCCGTAGCATGAAGCAAGCCTAGGAGTATTGCTACTCCCCCCTGGACGGGATGCTAGTCCATCGCAGGGTTATAAATATCATGGTGTTGAAATAGATCAACATTAACTTGGAGAGATCATGTAGACAAAATTGCTAAGAAAGCTTCTGGAGGGATTGGAGTTCTGAGATGTGTAAGGCATCTCATACCTTATCATACATTAATTACGATGTTCAAATCCATTGTACTACCGTATTTCGATTATTGTAGTATAGTGTGCGGGAGCTGTAGGGAAGGGATACGTAACAGACTCCAGACCCTCCAAAACAGAGCTACCAGGGTGGTAACTTCCTCTAGTTGCCACAGGCGATCAGTTGAGATACTGGATGAACTTGGGTTGGATAATCTTGAGACGCGAGGGACAAGGCAATTAACCACACTAATATATAAATTGAATAATCACATTGCATCAGATCATTTGGCTCAAATTTTTAAAAGTAAAAACTCTATGTACTCCTTTAATCTAAGGAACATAATTTGTTTGTACCAAGACTGTATGCTGAGGCTAAAAATAACAGCTTCCACTATAGAAGGGCGGTCCTCTGGAATAGTCTATGAATTAATTGAAACTGTCCAGCCTGAGATGAGTCAATTTATGTCCGGCCCTAAGACTAGTACTAATCTATATCTTAATACACTATAGCAAATTGTAAAAAGACTCTCAGTAAGTCGGTAGAATGACATATTTTTTTTAAAACCTAACTAATTTTAGCGTCACCTATATGTATTACTTGATGTACCAAAATAGAGGCAGTGGCCTTGGTAATATATTAACACACAATGGTGAAAAAAAATACTCTGGTAAGTTACTTCTACTATATTAAAATACTTACATAGTATGATAAGGAATTGGTGTTCCCCAGCGACGAGGCGTAATTAGAGGCTTCTGTATTCGCAAGCTAGATAAGGATTACTGTCATTCAGAAATTCGCCTTAATGGGCAACTCTCGCGTAGGACAACATTTTTCGGAAAAACCTTGAAAATGTTTTTCTAATTGTAATACCATCAAGAAATATATCTTCAGCGATCTATTTGGCTCAGAAATCGAAATTCAAAGTGTTAAATTTGCCGCTTACTTGAACTTCCGCAATTAACGCTTCCATTTTGCCTATCACGTGACGTGACGTCACAGGTGTGGAACAACAGATGATCTCGAATATGGCTGACTGTAGTTCTAATGGCTGAAAGTATTTACAGATTAATAAAAGCGCACCAGAAACAGGAACAGTTCTTAAAGAACAAACTCGATTAGAAAAGTCTTTGACTAAGTTCTGTGGTACGGAATATCTTAAAAAAGGATTGATCCTATACGAACAAATTCTACTCAGTACGGAAACTGACACTGAATATTTTCAGAGACTGCAGCCAAGGAACAGCTGGAGCAAAAATTGTTCTTAACATCTAAATGCTAATGAAATTGCTAAATTATCTTGTTGGCCTGTATACTGACAGGCGTTAAAACCGAGTGTTCACACACGCTGCAACCATAGTAATAATCATCAGCGACATGACTCACAGAGAGAGAAACTAGGTAATCATTAGTACGCGTATTTTCCAAGGATTTTTACAACAACAGGTTCAAATGGTGGAGTATTTACAGGGGACTGCTGGCAAGGTGGTGGCCCTAAAAACCAAGTTTTATTAAGAAAACTAAAGTAATTTATCTAAGAAATTGAGGGGGCTGCAGGAATTTTTTGAGGCAGAAAATTTTTGGTTATGAATATTTAGTCTATTGATACAGCTAATTGTACCTTAATAACAACATTGACAGATTGAAAACTGTACATGTAAAAAAACAGACGTCTTTTTTCTTTCCAACATCTTTTCAAATTCGGTGCCAAAACAAAGGTTCAGTCAGTTGTTCCTCTCAAATGTCTTCAATTTGATATCGCGAGTAAGCAACTCTTGAATCGCAGTATACTCAGACATCTTTACTTCGGTTATGTCGAATAAGGCTAACATAGTGAAGCTCGTGCAGGTGACCCAGCACAAGCCGGTTGCTACCAGTAACATCAAATTCTGGGCAGATCGTTACGTCATGGCGATGCGGAAGACTGCTAATCACGTAGATGCACGTTCGAAAACAGTTTGCCGCGCCGTGTAGAATCACGTGATCACCCCATGTACCATCTACCATCATGCTTGTGAGATAGGCATCCCAAGATGGATATCCATCAACAAAATGAAACAGTTCTGTCCCATCCCGCTGTAAGAAAAAAAGAAAATACTGTAGTTAATAGAGAAAGAGGTAGAGTGCTTTTGTAGAACGTATATATTCAGGCAGCTGCGCTGTCAGCTCTCTCTTAGACGACACCATTAGTATCGGCACTAGAAAGAATATGTCCACCTCAGTAGTATAGGACGCATCAGTTAGACGTCTTTTTGAAGTGGAATATATTATCTTCGAAGGCGTCAGTGAACCGAAACCAGGAACAATAAAGCTTTGTTCACACTTTTCCGGATAACCTTCAGTGACGACACGTAAAACTGTCCGGTATAGTATGAACACGTATTCGGCACGACGCAGCTTCGCTTCGTGACGGAAATCACCGTTCTTGTTTGTGAACAGAGGCCCTAACTGGTACGATTTTCGTGCCGGCGAAAAAGCTACCCAGTATAGTGTGAAAATAGACTAAATTGTCTGCAATGGACAATGAAGGCGTCACGATTCAGTGATTGTAAGTAACAGGTCAGGTAATTTAATGACCTTATAAGCACATGACGAACATAATTTAAAATAACTATGACATCATTCTCACCAAATAAGGACATGATCCCTCCAAGTTACGTCAAAAATATAAGAATAACTGGTTAAATTAGACACTACATAAAGATAGCTCTTGACGTTATGTTGATGAGATTACATCGCATTTCATTCATGGCGTCATCGACGCTTTTTATTCCACTTCAGAGTAATGAGACTCCACTCCAAAATAGGGTCTAACCTGTGCCCCTATACGTCCCTTAGGACAAAAGCCAGAAAATCGAGGCGACAAAAACAGATTTCTTAAAATCCGTTTCCATTTATGCCTCCGAGTCGAAAACGTTATTAAAAAAATGAATTTGCGTTCTTTTTAACTTTATTACGCTCATGTAGCGTTGTTCAACTAAACATATGTAGGCGAATTTTCCTGGATTTAAATTCTAAAAACAGCATCCGGATCAAATAACAATGATTCGTCGCCGTGCGTTCGAGGTCCTCCGCAAAACGTCGGATTAGGAAGTTTCATGTCGTAGTCGTCCAGTGGACGACGAAGGAAAGTACAAACAAGCGTGGTGTTCGTGCAGAACGCCTGTTTTTTTTTTCCATAAAGGGTCGATTCATTTGCATCATACCCGTAAAAACGTCACATTCAATCGCAGGAATTTAAGGCCCCGTCCACACGTATCAGGGTATTTTTTGCCTTCTGTCCACTCGAAAACGGCCTTTTCGGGCACCAAAAAAAAAAAAGCGGTCCCAGAGTGGACTTTTAAAACCGCCAACTTGTCGTTTACGTGTGGACGGACGAAAACAGAGATTTCTAATACGACGATGTAATACATTATAAGCTACTAGCACTGCGTTTCCTTTGTGAGGGACGATATCGTATTTCAATAATTTCAGCGTTTTTTGTGAAAGGACGAAAAAAATCAAATACGCTAAGTGTGTACACGTATTTTGGAGACGTCAGAACAAGGCCTTATTGCCTTAAACGTTAAAAACCAAAACAAAATTTTCAGCGGGAAAATGCGACAGCTTATGCGTCCAGGGCAAATGAATCCACTCTATAAAATATAATAAGGTATTTACCAGCCCGGGGTTTTCCCGAAGGTGTTGAACAATAGTTCGGCGTAACTCATCATGGGACATTTGAATTCCTTTGATGAGGTCAAGCTGCTCTGAAAGTGCAAAAAACATGCAGTTCCCCTCTCCTTGATTGTCAGAAATCGCAAAACCTTTTTCCAACGCAATCCTCTTCAAAGCCTGCGACAGTTTAGTTTTGCTGGACACTATGCTTGCTTCCAACAGGATTTGTTGAAGTGCAAGGAAAATGGGTTCGCCTGTAAACGGCAGAAAGAAATTATTAAAATAAGAATGAAGTTATTTCACGTCAGTTTAATAGGACATGATGAACTGGTCTATAGCTAAAAACAGCCGACAATATAAATTTGCCGTGGTTTCAAAGGAACAAAATAACCCCACTCTACAACAAAAATCAATTTTGGCTTTGGTTTATTTGAGAAAACAAACAACTACATCACCAGTCATCGATCCTTTTGCAGCATCGTTTTCAAAGTCATTTTGTGGAACGGCATCTTCTTGTGTCTTTTCAACGCATGAAAAAAATTGAAAGAAACGTTGAATTACAGAAAAAATTGTCAAAATTGAAAAAAATAAACGATCCGATCTGAGAAGCCCTCCATTTAGTTTGTGTGATATATTATAAGCCAAAGTTTAGCTGGACGGGTTCTCTGTCATCCTCTTTCTCTAAAAGAGAGACCCAGCAGCACGTGAAAAAATCTCGATTGGTTAACAAATTCTCCTTATTAGTAACACAGGATACGTATGAATACCACAGTGTGGAGAATATGAATGCTGTTATTAAGGTTTAAAAGGTTAACGTTGGCAATCTTTCTGCAGCCATACACATGTACCGCCTAACACAATACTATGAAATTTGCTTACGCACTTGCTCTTGCTGAAGCAACTAAAATACAGGGATGAATCATAAAGGTAAAACAAAGGCTAATCCTGATATGAGATACGCACTTGACATTTTCACCGTGTTTAAAGTAATAATTACTATTATCGTTACTCCCCCTTAGCAAAGTTAATTTCTTACCATCGACCATCTTCCACATTCTGGCGACAAGGGCTTGGCACTGTCTCTCGCAAGAGAATCTTTCATCATAACTTCTTCGTAGTCTTTGGATTTCCTCAAGCCGATGTGTCCTTGATTTTTGACGGATGGCTGCAATCGCCTTTGCCCATTCCTTGGGGTCACTAGAGTCGATCACAAATGACTCACCCATTGGAAGACCACGCAGTGCTTTTCCAAATCCAGAGTTTGCACTAACCAGAATGGGAAGACCAGCTGACATGGCCTCTAATGCTGTCAAACCAAATCCCTCAGTTCTCGATGGCATAATGGCAAGGTCGACTTCACAAAACAGCTCTCTCAATCTTTGTTTGTCTTTCACAAATGATCTAACAATCAGCTGGTTCTTTGAAATGCCAGTCTGGAGTAAGATTTCTGCGACTTCATCCTGCCTACCCTGGGATGCACCAACGAAAAGAAGACTATAGGAACTGTCCTTCAATTCAACTATGGATTGAGCGGCAATGTCGTATCCTTTAAGACTAAAGTCTTCCAAATCACCGCGACCAAAGATCAATACTCGGAAATTTACACCATCTTGCGCAGCATGTTCAATATCTGAAAACTCTGCAAAGGAACCTGGTATTAACTGAAAGATATCTCGATGAGATGAACGCAACATGCGCGAGAACGCTTCTTTTAACTTAGGTCCAACGGCTACAACAAGATCTGCAATTTGACAAAGGTCAACTTCAGCTCTGTTCTTCCCTTCTCCCTTGGCAATGGCGCTTGGATAGTTCTTATGCATCGCCAGCTCTTCAGGCTCAGTGTGAACAACCTGCACCCACTTGCATCGATGAGACTGTCTGATAATTTGCGCTTGTCTGCCAAGCTTTGCCCCATGGCCGATCACAACCTGAATGTCAAGGTCTTCTGGAGGAACGATCAGCCAGTCAAGAGGATCACTGAAGCCGGGGAGATTCCCTGCTTCCCTGATGCAAACATTGTGACTTTTGGCAGCTCTTTTGTCTTCTTCGCCGTAATCAAATTTAGGTACAAGAATGGTGACCTCTACGTGTGGGTCTTTTGCCAAATGTATGGCAAGAGATCTGTTTAATGTTGCCAAACCACCCTTAGAAGACCCCCATTCGTTTGCCAGGAGAGTAACTTTCAATATTAAACGCTCTGAATGACCTTGTTCAGCATCAGATGATGATGATGATGGTGGTGATGATGGAGTACACACGTCCTGTACAGAGACAAAAATTGCATATTTTAAAATAGAAAGTGTACACCTGGGGTGTTTACCGCTTTGAAAGAAAGTTTGCAAAACATGTTATCATCCAGTTAGAAGCTATAAACTTATCGTTTGACTGTAAAGGAAACAGCTTGTTAAGAAAGACTTGAGAAACGGTTATGAATACCCACTGCTATGGCTGCAGTAGGTATTTAACAACAGAGTTGATGATGTTAATTGGCCACTGTAAAGAGATTCTCAGTTCAAGGCTAGCCATTTGTCTGGCAAAGTGCTAAAAGAACTTGAATAGAATTTTGAGTCATATATGGTAACCAACTGACCTTATTTTAAGAACTATTGCTTGCCTCTTTTTACCCAGCTAGACACTTGTGGTAGGTTAAATGAAGGCCTACGTTATACATCATTATAACCTAATAATGACACACACAAACTTTGTTGAAGCTTTTTAAGTATAAATAAATGACTAGCCTTTCAGTAGCATAATATAAAATGCCGTAAAAGTCCGAAAATCAGCTCCCAAGCTCATATTTGTCAAAGGCCCTTTTTGAGGGGCTTACATACGAAGGGAAATGGAAGGGACATTTGCGTCTCAAAATCGATTGGGCTAGATTATAGTTGGAAATAAATTAATGTCAGTAATTTGGACGAAGGTTTTACTGAAACTCGCCATGGGGACCAAGGTCTTTCTAAAACTCAGCCATGCGAGTACTTTGGCTATATGGATCGAAGAAATTCAAGCCAAGAGTGAAGACTGAACTACGCAAACAGCATTAAAATGTGACACTTCTTGATTGCAATCATTTGGCACGAGGAATAGTTCTTTGGCAAATTAAAAACATTATATGTTACTGTACCGTTTTCAATTTGTTTTATTTTGTATTTGAGGGCAATTTCAAAGTACAAGCCCCCGGGGGCTTATATTCGGGCGCGGCGATTTAAAGGAGGGTTTTAACTCCGAGTTTGGGGGATTATATTTGGAGGGGCATATTTTCGGAATTTTAGTTAACATTCCATTTATATGTAACATGCCAACAGCACTGATAGAGATGGGATTTCAGTGCTACCTACCTTACTTGGTGTCTGTGAGAACCATTTCTGCTTTCCTATGACTGTGAGTACTTCATCTGCAGGTTTCTTTTCGCAAGTCAGATGAACGCCTTGTCTTACCTCAAGGAGGTGAAGACAATCTTCATGAGAACACGCAATCTGATTATGGCTTGAGCATTTTTCCCGCTGACAATACGGACACGCGACCCGAATATGATACTGCAATCCACCTTTATAGAGATCGCGTGACAAAGCTTCCAAAGTTGCCTCCACAAACTCACGAACCTGCACTGCCATCTCACTTGTCTCATCCATAGGGATCTGCTGAGGGAGGTTTCTTTGCTTGATAAAGAACTTAATAAACTGCTTCCTACAAATAAGAACAAAATCATGGACAGTTTGCTCCCCAATAACGAACCACGCTCCATTTTGGTACAGGGTAGGGGGCTGAGTTGGACCAGCCTCAGAACACCAATGGACAGAGCGAGAAACAAGCCGAGTGAACAGACCATGGGGAACAGAACCGCTGACAAAGTAAACATACAGGGGACATGGGTCCAGCCTTGAGGGCGCCATGGAACAAAGAGAATCAGGTGAAGCTTTGAGTTGAGATGGAACAAAGTACTTTTCTCCTGTCTTTGAAGACGAAAATTTTGCAATCAATCCAAATTGTTCCATCAAATCCACAATGTCTTTTCTGGCAACGCCCTCCAGAAGAAATTTGGAAAACACAAGATCAACCAGTTCCATGCAGAGAACACCGCTTTTTTCGACTTCCTTCCAGTGCTTGGCAACCTTAGGAACCTAAAAAGGAATAAAGCGAAGGACAATAACAAAACTGTTTTAATAATAATAATAATAATAATGATAAATACATATATGCACATAAACATGATACATGATACATATTTGAAAAGGTGGACCGCGAGGTTTTCCCTGTAAAAGGTCCCCTAAATGAACTTTAGTAAAAATATCAAAAAATTAAAAAACGCGCTCAAAAATCATTAGTGCAGGTACAAAATGGTATAGTAAGTATGATATTTAAAATGAAAATATATACAATTAGAATATGAGCTACAGTGTCACTAAATCTTCATCCATCTTTTAAAGCCTTTTTTAAATTTGTTAACGTTAATTTCGTCTGTGAAGAGATGGTTCAGCAAACTGTTCCAGTCTTTGACAATTCTCACAAAGAAGGAGTACTTAAAGGAGTTAACTTCAGCTAATTTAGTTTGTATTTTGTATTTTAAAATAGTATTATTGTAGGAACATTTTAAGCTACTTAATTGCTGCAATTGTAAATCGTTGGTTATTTTGTTTAATATTTTAAGTAAACGAACAAAGAAAAAGATCTAGAGTTTTCCGTTTTCGTGTGTGGAAGGATAGAAAATAACGTTTCGTAGTCTGCCTAGAAAGTACTACTGTGTGGATAAAAGTAAAGAGGATAGCCTTCTAAGCAGCCCTCCGTTTGGTTCGTTACACAATCCTTTGTGGGAAGATTTACGAAGTCAAGTTTTCTTTTCTTTACAACCGTTTACCACAACCTCGCGCGCTAAGGGAAAACAAGAGAAATGTGGTTGTGGTTGTGAATAGGAAGAACAGAAATGCGGAAAAGGAAAAAGGGATGTGGGAAAGTGAAAAATTGTTTTTCGTCGTAGAAAGGGCTAGTTTGCCTTGGTGCTCATTACATATTCACGATTTGCGCGCCAGGAAGCAATAAAACGGAACAACTTGTTGAACAATGAGAGCGGTTTGAAATGTAACTTGCATAACATAAACACAGGGGTTTCCATAAAAGCCGGTTTCCGGCGGTCTACCGCATCCTGTAGGACCTCTTACCGCCGTCTGTTTGGATTTCATTACTGAAAGTAAAAGGTGATTTAAAAAAAAACAAATACAACAACAACGACGACCACTGAAATTTTTAGATGTTACAAAAAAAGCGGGCAGACCCAAGGCCAAAAAACTGAAGCGCATGCGATAATTTCAACGTCCAGCGGTACACTGAAAAACTGAAGCCTCGATATCGTGACAAAGCAACATGGCGTCTAGAAACGACACGACGGACATAAATATTAATGTATTTAAGCGGTTTTTCAAGGACTCTGGGACAACTCTGACGGGAACCAGTCTTCGTCAACCGGTAGGAATAATGTTATCATTTCTTTGGATTGATAATCTTTATGTAAAGAATAATTCGATTATTGCCGAATTGCAGGTCGTTCGAATCCGTAAAATAAACANACGGGAACCAGTCTTCGTCAACCGGTAGGAATAATGTTATCATTTCTTTGGATTGATAATCTTTATGTAAAGAATAATTCGATTATTGCCGAATTGCAGGTCGTTCGAATCCGTAAAATAAACAGCTTTCGACACATATTTTTAGCCGTTAGTTTTTACAATAACTTTCAGTTTCTATTAACTGTACCGAGTATCGACGGCCCAGCTAACAAAAAGAATTACCATCTTCTTCAGACGACTTATCCGATTGTAAAGAAAAAGGAAATCAGCCTAAGATCCCTCAACAAACGTTTGTGGAAAAAGAAATTAGACAAGAAACCTGTAAAGGTCGTGCTGCCAAGGTTGATGCCCCTTATATCTGCTATCTGCCTGGAAAGGTATTCAAAATGCACCTTTTTGCATCAAAAATTTAATAGTTTTTTTAAAAAAAATCCTGCTTTGTGGTCAATAAAAATGCGCATCAACAACACGCTTTTTGATGCCCAGAACGCTGGAAATCGCATTCCCGAGCTTCTAGATTTCAAATTTTTCTGGGGGAGCAACCCGCTTCGGTGGGGTAGTAACCAGTCCACCACAAAGAAGGCTGATTCTGTGCCTAATATACCACTGGGGATAGCCTACGAGTGGCCCCTTATTTTCCTCTCGGATATTTGAGCGAGCAAAATACAGCAGCGTTTGTCACCTTCTTCGCGGGTGGCAATTTTCACGCGCGCTCGCCTAATTCTCTCGTTCTACCATCCCTGAGGAAAATGAGAGACTACTTGTCTTGTGCTTGACGAGCCAAAAGGACGTCAGAGTAGGAGACAATAATGCTTGGTACAAGCTACACTCCTCCGTTTTTTGTGTAGGTTGAGCAGTGTTATAAATTTTTCGAAATTCGCTCCGTGCGTGTGTATCAGTAAGGGCGGTGAAAACAGTCTTCCTTTATATATACATATAGGTAATCACATGATTTCGAGTGCAATTTGGAATAAATAAGCACGAGTAAATTTTTCAAAGACCAACAAAAGTGCACGAGCCCGTAGGGCGAGTGCACTTTGTGGGCTTTGAAAAATTCACAAGTGCTTATTTATTCCAAATTGCACGAGAAAAATCATTTGATTACTTATTAATAATATGCACGAAATTATAACTACAACAACAAGTTTTGACAGCGCGCGCGTTTTTAGTTCATTCAACTGATTGGCTGAAACAGACTACTAACTTTGTCAAATTCAAACTTTTTCAAGACCAACGCTCTCAATATCATTCAGCTAAGAACTTGAAAATGTGCAAGGACTGATTTTATATGGTCACCAGCCTGTTAAAGATAACTTGGTTTATAATTATCAACAAAAGTAATTGTTTTTTAAATTCATCCTCGATTATGAGAGCTCGACGTTTACACAAAGCGTTTTCAAGAAATATGCTGCCGGTTTGAAATCAGGAGAACGCTTCGAGCAGCCAAAGATGAAAGACACTTGCTAACGTTTTTTAAGGACTGTTCATCATTGTCTGTTCCTGAGACCCCATCATTGCTGGATTCATGGATAAATTTTTGAGATTTAAAACCCGAAAATGAAGGAGGCAATTTGTTTTCTTCCGACGCTGCCATCGATGGGTGAGTGGAGCCACAGTTGTTCTGATGTCTTGCACAATGATTCGTAAACTGTTTTCTCACTTTCTTTAAGGCTAGTACCAGCTACGGATACTTTCATTATGTTGGTTATGGTATTTTCGCCCGTTGATTTCTTTTTGACCAGATGTTTAAATTTTCGGTTTCGTTTGCTACTGAGGTAGAAAAAAAAAACCATCGCATGGAAAGGTCTTCGCTCCACAAAAGACTCAAAGAGAGCAACCGGACATCTTTCTCCTCCAACAAATAACGTACGTGACTTGAAATCCCTGTTGTTATCATAAAAAAACTTGTATCCTTGTTCATTTAAATGCTTGAAAAGTGTAGCTGTCATGGTTTGCGTGTGGTTGCCACCGTTTCTGTTCTTTATTTTTTTTACTTTAGCGTAATCTGTTATAAGTAGCTTGTGTTTTAGTTTCTCCGGCTCATTTTCCTCGATTTTGTTGACAGTATTTTTCTCTTAGCACCGTATTTTCGATACATTTAGCACGAAAGACGTACTTTTTACTGTGTTCAGGTTTGTCGAATATTTTTTTCACTTTTCTTTTGTTGTTTTGCGTCGTCTGCTGAAAACCATGGCCATTTTCTTAAATTTTGTTGCTAAAACAGCTCTAATCTGATTGGTTCTTGGTCATGTCTTGGTGGTTTCTCTTGTGTTTTCAGCCAATCAGAAACCATTTGTAATTTGCACTCGTGTTACAAGTTTTGCACTCGTGTTACAAGTTTGCACTCATGTTACAGAAGAACTGCACTCCTTTCTCAGCCAATCAGAATTGAGTAATTTTTTCGTGTATATTTTAAACATGTATTTCCACTCTGTTTGGTTGTCCAATTCCTTTGAGCCTACATAAAAGGTAAAGTGCAAGTAAATGTGCCGATGATACCGGTATCTATTTGGCATTCAATCCAAACGATGATTCCGATCAAGACGCCGCCATTGCAGCAATGGAAGCGTGCCTCTGTGACATCCGTAGCTGGATGATCAATGACAAACTCATGATCAATGATTCCAAGACTGAGTTTATGCTCATTGGGACGAAGGCGCAGCTACAGAAAACTAAAAGCGCCACTCTAACTATTGGCGAATCCATCATCTCTCCTAGCACGGAACCCCTTAGAAACTTAGGGGCCTGGTTTGACTGCCATTTCAACCTGAATTTTAACATAACCAAAACTTGTAGGAGTGCTTTTTTTCATCTACACAATATTAGACGCGTCAGAAAATATCTAAGCATAGAATCTGCCGAGAAATTAGTGCACGCTTTCATCACAAGCAGATTGGACTATTGTAACTCACTTTTATACGGACTACCCCACTGCGCCCTCACTAAACTGCAGCGTGTTCAAAACGCAGCTGCAAGAGTTCTATATCTAGCACCACGGTTTTGCCATATCACACCAATATTATACGAATTACACTGGCTGCCTGTGACGTTTAGAATAGAATTTAAGGTTATTATAATCACTCACAAAGCAATCTATGGAACAGCTCCTAATTATTTATCATCTCTCGTTAACTTTAAACCTAATTCTTCCTACAGCCTCAGATCAAATAACAAATATCTGCTTTCAAATCCTAACTTTAGGACTCTCCCTACTCTTGGTGACCGAGCCTTTGTAGCCGCCGCACCAAAACTATGGAATAATCTTCCGTTAGATCTTAGATGCACCTCTGATTTTCAAGTTTTTAAACGTAATTTGAAGACTCACCTTTTTAAAAAAGCCTTTTCTGATATAATGTTGTTATTTATTGTTTTAATGTTTTTTTTTTATGGTATATGTTTAGATCTTTAATTGTAAGGTATATTTTTAGATCTTTAATTGTAAGGCGCATTTGAAAACTGTATAGTTGAATTTGCGCGGTATAAATAAATGTTATTATTATTATTAGAAGCTCCTCTTTTTGTTAGCGGCTACCTCGTGATGTCACCTGATGTCCTTCGAAATTGAAACAGGAATCCTCTTGGGATATTACAACGTTCAAATAAGAAAGTGCAGTGAAAATGTTTCATTGTAATGTTTACTCTTAGTGACGTCAGTATAGCGGGTTGAATACAGGGACGACTGCCGACCAGGCGTTAGTACCAATTCAGTTGTTATAGGTTTGGTCGGGTAAGATTTCATTTCAGAATTACATCGCCTACCCTAACTGTTTTACACTGGGGAAATATTAAACCAGCCTAATCCACTACGATTTTGCTGTTTACAAATATTTGAGGAACAGTTACCATTTTCAAAAAGATAGCGTGCAATGCACTTGATATAATTATTTTTATTAGCTACAGCACGGTTGGAAACCTGTGATGTCATCCAAAATGTGGACCATTATAAACCTTGCAAGTTTTAAAAAACACGTTTAAAGTCCATTTCTTACCATTTTCGTAAAATCTGGAATAGTGATCAGCTGCCCGAACAAGTTTATCAGCCACTGGGTACTCAAGATGACTGTGCTACGGTGCTTGATAATTATCCCCAGGTCATGATAGAAATTCACCATGGTGGTAAACTCTTTCTCATCATGGATGAAGCACTTCTTCTTGGCATGGGTCCGTAGCTTCTTTATACTCAGGTAATAAACTGGCTTGGAAAGCAGAGCGTTGATGACTTTCTCAAAGTTCAGCCACCTAGTTTACAAAACCAAAGAGAAAACTGATGGAGCTCGTTTAGGTATCCATGTCAATCACTACACAGTATACCTGTACTGACTAATTAAAGTGAAAGGCCCAGTTGTGAGAAAGGTGGATAACTGTATCCAGTGGATAAATATCTGTGTGTGATCCACTTTACTTTACCTTTTTAAAACGACTTGATTGAAATATACACGGTGCTTTTTGGTCAATTCGTAAAAATGTTATCAAACCCTTTAGGGTAGAATATTCCTTAAGGCCAGTCAAAACTGCTTTTCATGGTTAACTTGTTTCAATCAACGAGATATTCATTTCTTATGACCGCCAGGTGGTTCATACAGGAATCAATGGATATTTTCTGTTCTCGCTTTTACTTTTTCATCCAAAGTTAAGGACTATACAACGAACCAGCCTTTTGATGTTTTGCGGCCACGGTTTTATGTAGCGTCACGGTCAATGAGTTACTTATGACACCTGAAACACATTTACATATCAAAGAAAAAATCATACAAGGACTGGCGGAAACAAACGCCATACACGTAAAACGTAATCTCAGTGCGTTCACAGCTCAACTTTTGACATGGAAATTATTTAATATTTACTTTAATGGATTCTGAACATTCTGGTATAACCATTATTTACCTCACAGGTCTCCTCTCCCCAATGTAAGGCTCCTGTTTTAGCACTTCCATGATTTTTACTTGTAGAGCTTCGATCTCATCAATGTTTTCGTCCTTCCCGAAAACCATTGCCTTGATCTTTCTTTGAGTTAATTTTGCAGTGTTGTCAATGCTAAAGATAGGCCGCACTACATGCCCTTCATAGTCCTTACCAGCAATTGCGTTCTGGATTTCTTTTTTCATTGTTGCAATGTTTTCAAATGGTTTGTCTGCATGGGTTCCTACAATGATCACTGGGGGGCGCAAATGAGGCACCTCTTTTTCTACATCATCACAGGTTTTTCTTCTCATTTGCGCGACGCTATGCACTGTGGACAGCCAAGACAACAAGTTCTCAAGATTTGTTTCTCCATTTGGGTTTTCCAACTCAACATTACGAGACCCTTGCCTCACACAGGGTTTGGCTGTGTTATGCAGTGACTTGCTGAGGTTGCACACCAAGATATAAAGCGCACGTGATGTTAAAAATACAGGATGGGATGCATAATACAGGTGTTGCCCAGCAAAATCCCACAGTTCAACACTGACAACAGATTCTTCAGCCTTAAAATCTTCATCTTGTATTTCCCTTATCAACTGAACTGCTCGTTCCTTGATCTCCTCTGGAGGTGAAGTAGTATCAACCACTAACTCATGATCAGGTTCTGTTAATGTGGGCTCATTAACACTGTCTTCGTTTGGATCACCAACCTGAAGCAGAGTATGAAAAAAAGAAACAAAAAATAGCTGTTGATTTTGATTATGAAAGACTTAACATGGCTGGTTCGACTTTTGGGGGTGAAGAGGAATAATGGAGTAAGAATAACGGAATTTTTGTTGTTGTAAGAATGGAATAATGCCATTTTGTGGTGCGGAATAATGGAATAAGCAGATGTTTTCAACGGAAAAATTTGTTCTGTTTTTACTGCAATAATGGAATAAGGAAAATTTTCCAGCTGCAATAATGGAATAATGAACACCTTATTCTTCCTCTTCACCCTCCGATTCGATTGTTCAGCCATTTAAAGATTGTTTTTAATGACACAAAAATGAGGTCAAACATTGAGGCACGATTATTGGAGGCATGAGGTATCCAAAACATTAATATGCTCTTGCATTTATTATGGAACAGTGAGTTTAAGAATATATAGAAATATGGTGTTTGATTGAGTCCCCCCAGCCCCTTGGCTTTGCTCGTCGCATAAAAAAAGAAAACAATACAACGAAATTGTGATAAAACAACAACAAACAACTATGCTCAAGGCCTAATTAACACTTAAAAGTATAAATAAAGATATGGCTAAACTCACTTTGGTTTGCAGACGCACTAATGACCCAAAGGCTAAGCTTAGGTGTAGATGGGTACAATCATGGAAATATAACTGAATGGTTGATAGTAGTATCATTCTACACTCGGAACTAAACTTACAAGTGTAAAAACGCTGGTTAAAATTTTTAACCAGCATTGGAAAACGAGGTAGAAAACGGTCTGGCAGTTGTTTAGCCTTCCACGCAGATGTTCTTAGCGGTTCGTCAAAGGTTCCTGCCCCACGAAAGTCTGCTGACTTGAGCGGAAAAAAAAAGTAGACCAATCACAGCAGACTTCCAGATCTGGGAAGTGCACTTTGGACCTTGAGAAATTTCGCGCTTGACTTTATAGCTCCAGGAAATGAAAATCTTCATTATGAATCGGTATATTTCAAAGAGCTACACAACGAGCAAGAATCCTATTGACTGACAATATACAGAACGGGGGCAGCTGTAGTGTCAACTATTACTAGTATGTACACAGTAATAGGCACCTTATAACTTCTGCGCTTAACGAGTGTCCTTAAATTTTGGGTCCATAACTTTCACTGAAACAACTGCTCCACAGAATGTCACTGATAACACGTTAATGCAAAAGAGTGTCGAAGTATGACTGCACAGTAAATGTCACAAAATCTACCTAAGCGGTCCCTTGGGAATGTTTTGTCTTTACGTCATCCTAACCATTTCGTCCTTGCGGGCGCAAAACATAGAAACGTCATCATTACCTACCGATTCCTCGCGGCCCCTTTTCAAGCAAATCGAGATTTTCTCTATATTGACTGTATGACTGTATATTTCAACTGTAAGTACTTTCCCTAATATACGCGCGAGTTACTAGAGTGCCCCCGCGGGATTTCGCCTTCTGGGCAAAATCCCTGCGGGGGCAAAAAGCCAATGATTATCTCCTGTATTCTTGTCAGGAGCAAAAATCTTTGGTCACGTATCACACTCTACAGAGCTTGTACGTATGTGTTTGGCTTGTCAACACTTTGACTTTAACAGCGCCGATTGGATCTCCGATAATCTGCATGTGATCTCCAGCCGATATTTGCGAACAATGGGAAAGGAATTTATCTTTCAGTTCAGCAGACGTTCGTGGGACAGGAACGCGTGACGAACCCCTAAGAACGTCTGCGTGGGAGGCTAGCGGTTGTTACGTATTTTCCATACGGAAGACTGTGGCGAAGGCGGGAAGCTACTATAACCTAACTTATGAAGAAGGCGATAATCAATTTATAATAACTACTGTTAGAACGTTCTTGCAGTAAGTAAACGATGGATTCACGAAAAAACATCACTATTCAAAACTAACAAAGACAAACCTGGTTCACAAGAGAAACTTCCTCCTTTTCTCCATAAGTATCAACCCGTTTCCTATTCTTGTTTTCATCACTTTGAAATATTCCTTCACCTGTTAACTCCTGCCAAGTGTAGTCAGTATACATCCTTTCCGCCACCATCTGTGCCACATCTTTCGAACATCCTAACAATCCTTGCTTTCTCTCATCAATAGGCTGCCAATTCCAGACTTCATCAACATCCAACTGAAATTTTGAAGGATCCACTTCAATTCCATCCGTGCTTTTTTCTTTTGAATTAAATGGTAGACTAATAAGAGACTTCTTCAAACTTGTTTTTCCTGCCCGATCCTGCCCAATAAGCAATACTCGACCACGGTAAACATTAACAGCTCCATCTTTAAGAGCACTTTGATAAGCGAGCTTTGCTTTTTCTCCACGTGCTTCTATTTCTAAAGGAGCTAGTAAAAAAAAAGAAACCGAATACTTATTAAAGGTAAGTAATGTCTTAGAGGTTGCGTAGTTCATTTGCTTCTAGTTCACGTGACTGACCTAGGAGGTCAAGGGAGGAGGGGGGGGGATTGATTTTCAACGGAGAATTAGTCCTGCACCAGGGTTAATTATCCTTCTTGTGATCTTTCAGTATGGTCAATTATTAAAATAAATCTATGGTAAACATAATTTTGCTGAATTTCAAATGTAACATATATAATTAATTTAGGTTATTTTTGATACTGTTAACCACCCCTATTGCATAAGCACCCTCATTCCAACCTGGGAGGGTTACTTGGGTTAATTTTGGTTGGGTATGTGCTGCTGGCCTCTCTTAAACTTGGTGTGGTGTAAATCTTTCTATTTTTAAATCCCTACATACCTGAATTTTGTGACCCCCAAAATCCTGAAAATGTTTGACCCCGTTCCAGCAACTCTTATAAAAATGTAACCCCTTGATAGTCAATCCAGTCGTGAAAATGCGACCCAATCCATCAGCACATACCCATTAGCCTACTACTAGGAATTACCCCCCACCGGGGCATTCCAAGCGCCCCAATACCAATAAGCGCCGCTATTCAATCACCGACTATTGTTTCATCCACCGTGACAAGGTTGACCCTAATTCACGCAACCCGAGTGAACGGCCGCGAACGCTCTCGATTGTTAAAATCAACAAAGGGCCTACAGCACCAAACATAGGACCAAAGCGTATGGTTTTGAATGCTCGGTGCCTGGCAAAACCTGATGCAGCTCCGACTCTTTATACTGAGTTTAGTAACAATGACATTGATACCGTATTTCCTCAAATAATAGCCGGGGGCGATGACTATTGTTTTCCCACAAAAAGGAGTCGATTATTTGAGGGGGCGATTATTTCCAATATTGCTCACTGGAGATCGTGCCCTAAATATTTTGTTTTATTATTCCATTAAACCGAAAATTTATAACATCAAATAAACAGAACATGGGCTTTTTAAGTGTTCCAAATTATTTTGGTTATTTGATTAATTTTCAATGCCAACATCCTCGGCACCTGAGCTTGAATTGTCACTAATCAGTTTTGCTGGATCAGGCACCACTACAACTTGACAGGGAGGGGATAAAAGCAAGATCGAGCTGGCTCGCCGATCGGTGGTGGTGTTGCTATTATTTGTCGGAATGACTGGAAGGGTAAAGCGTTGAATGTCACTGATAGCTTGGAATTTGAGTCTTAATTGGAGACCATGTCGCTTTGTAGACATGATCTCGAATAGCAGACGAGAATTCGCCTTCATAAACAAGCTTCGAACTCCAAATCAAGGGATTGCCAGACGGAGCCATGATCGAAGACCTTTGCTAAATCTTTCTCATAAGGTGCCCTACCCCTGTTTTATGGTTCGAGAGTTTTGCTTCGCAACATAAAACAAATAGACGCCCTGTTTCGAATAAGCGCCCTCATTTGAGAAACTATAAGTATATAAGGGCTGCGGGCACTACAGCGAGTGATTACGCTAAATAATTTAATGGCATTGTCTTTTGTTTAAATTATTCTGTAGCTTGTTTCCTCCTCTCCAAGCATTATGCTTTTGAAGTGGTGCGAAGGTTTGGTTGCCTTAGTGATCCTAAAGACTACGTGCTGGGCAGGTTTCAGGTGAAAGGCAAGACACCTGGCCGTCCATGTGGGGGGAGGGGGGGTGGGGCGGGGAAAGAAGGGGCGGTTAGGCAATTCACTTACACTATTGCCGTGCATGCTGACAGGGAAAACAACAAAAACTAACTTGCAAAACAGACCTAAATGAAGCTAACTATGACTCAAAAATTGCTCACTGGAGATCGTGCAATTAGGTAAGACTTTTAATAACTAATTATGACTTAACATGAGGTAAGACTTTTAATTACTAATTCGTAGCCAGTGGTAGCGCAAACGTATCTGAAATCATTATTAAAGGATTTCAATTGACAATCGATAAAATGGATGAAAATTGATCAAATTTGATAAAAATTGATACTCACAACTCTTTCGATCTTCGATATTTATCGATTACCGATATTAATCGCTTAATTACTATCGTTTAAAATCGAATAGAAGCCATTATTTCGATATTCATCGATTTGGCACGGCGGGTAAAACCCCCGCTACTTACGGCAATTATTGCTGTTTTGCTGTTACATTTTGAAACAGGATTACAACATTACTTCCTATCCTCTTACTCTTTAGAGACACTATTCAACTGCATTCATAAAATAGCGAGAATCATTAAACGAAAACACATTCAAAGCGCTTCGTCTCCTAACATTTTTGAATATGGCGCGCTTTTTAAATTTGAATCCTCTGAGTTCTTCCGAGCTAAAATTACAAGTGAAAACAGCTAGTAATCGTCAGTATGTCAACAAACACTTAGAAAAAATGTTCCGCTCAGCAGCAAATCGACCACAGTGAAAACATAGCCTCCACCGCAGGCATTTCTAGGGGAGCTCGTATTTCTTACCTCCCCGAAGAAATACTAGCCTGCGAACAGCGGACGTATTTCCGGTCGTCGCTTCTCTCCCTTCGAAAAATAAATAAGCGACGACTGGAAATACGTCTGCTGTTCGCAGGCTAATCTCGCAGGGGTTTTTAGGGGAGCTCGTATTTCTTTAGTCTGCGAACAGCGTATTTTCGGTCGTCGCTTCTCTCCCTCCGAAAGTTCGTGAAAACACAACCTTAGAGTCATTTAGTAAGGGAATGATGGAATACAATGTTTGATGTACCCTAGATAATAGCTATTTTTCACAGCTGATTTGAAATTTTTGAGCAGACGAATTAATTAAAATGAATTAATATGTACAAGAAACTTAAGATTGATTTTGAAAGTACAGTTTGTAGCATATCTTAATGATTTATCAAACCCTCAAATTCACGAAACCCCCGCTAACTGAAAAAAAAAATTGACTTCACTTTCCCAGGGAAATAGTGGAATTTTATCCCGTTTTTTTTTTTGAACTTTCAAATAACTACAATATCCGCTGTGCTTACCTGCAAAACCATATACACGTACTCCTTTCTTCCCTAACTTCAAGGCACGTCCTATTGCGTTAACAGTTAAAGGATTACGAATCACCCACAGCCACCTCAGCTCCCCGAGGTCACTAATCTCAGCAGGTAGTTCAGTTAGTTTATTTCTATTCAAGTACAGACTTTCAAGCTTTGTCAGCCTCTGTATACTGGTAGGTAAACCAACCAACTGGTTATTATTCACACTCAGCTCCCTCAGCTGCCTGAGGTCACCAATCTCAGCAGGTAGTTCAGTTAGTTTATTCTCATCCAAGTACAGCTTTTCAAGCTTGGTCAGCCTCTGTATACTTGTAGGTAGACCAACCAACTGGTTGTTATTCACACTCAGCACCCTCAGCTCCCTGAGGTCACCAATCTCAGCAGGTAGTTCAGTTAGTTTATTTGCATACAAGTACAGCCTTTCAAGCTTGGTCAGCCTCTGTATACTGGTAGGTAAACCAACCAACTGGTTGTTACTCACACTCAGCTCCCCCAGCTCCCTGAGGTCACCAATCTCAGCAGGTAGTTTAGTTAGTTTATTTGCATACAAGTACAGCTCTTCAAGGTTGGTCAGCCTCTGTATACTGGTAGGTAAACCAACCAACTGGTTATTCTTCACACTCAGCTGCCTCAGTTTCTTCAGGTCACCGATCTCAGCAGGTAGTTCAGTGATTTTGTTGTTATCCAGTTTGAGCACAATAAGATTTTTCAGCTTGCTGATACTTGCTGGTAATTCAATCTGGTTATTTCTATCCAGCACAAGTTTCTCTGTTTCACTCAGTTCAGTGACTGCATCAGGTACCCTGGAGAGTGTTTTTCCATTCAGACCCAAAACTGCTAATCCATCTTCATATTTTAAGTAAGCTCTCAATTTTGTATTGGAATAATGCTCCATGTTTCAAATTGTTAATAAAAAGTCTCGACAGTTCTTCTTACCATCTAGAAATAACAAATAGTAACCTAGTAAAGAAAAATCAAAATCATATCATCCATATAGGTGAATTTTACAGAATAAAAATAAAAGAAATCTAGAACAGATGCTCTTAGTGCATTCAAAAAATCTTTTGTTAGTAGACTAGGGTATCTAAAAGATAGTAATACTGCGGCACATTCTGTTGATAATGTCATTAGTTAGGCGGTTATTCATCTGCTTGCATGCGACTTAAAAGAATCAAAAATGACAATAAACTTTCCCCTTTTCCTGCTGTATAAAGCTCAAGGGTTTCTTTTCTGCTTTTAAGTAGCTAACATTTTGTTCCAAGTGTCTCCTCTTTCTCATTTCCATTCAGTCTAAACTATTGTTACTGACCACCAAAAATGCAAAGATTGAGTCAGGTCATCTTAGGGAGATGGTCACTTATTGAATTGAACAACAGTGGGTCCCTTCCTAGAAAACTGAGATCCCAACACATCTACATTTTGGAACAGAATTCATCACGTGCAATTTCTAATCTGCAATATGTGTATAGTTTTATGGTGTCACTAAAAGATTTTCACATACTTTTAGTAGTGTACTACATACAACAAACAACAAAAAAATAACTGACCATGATACAAGGGAAACAAATTATGTCAATATTGTGTACTGCTCAGACTGTTTGGAATAAAGGCCTTAAGAAACACTGATTCCCAATTGTGGGTGCGTATGGGACGTGTATTATGGGTAGGTGAACATGTCTGTGATCAGGTACATGTAATATAATAATTATATTACATCATAAGGTGACAAATGATTTGATTTCTGTACATCTGGAAATAATCCCAGGAGGGGGCAGTTAATTGATTTTCAGTGGCAGGCAATGGGGATGCCTATTTGTTGGATTTACACTTATTTGAGGGGGAACACTTATTTGAAGGGGCCGCTTATTTCATTTTTTAGTATTTCAGCCTCAAGATAGCATTTGTTTTTCTTTCACACAGACAAAAAAACACTAAGCAATGAAACTACAACATATTCTTCAATAAATACACAAGT